AAAAAAAAAAAAAAAAAAAATCGTCATAACAATAAATCGATGATGATGATATAATAATGATGATGATGATAATGGTGATGGTGATGGTGATGATGATGATGATAATGATAATGATAATGATGACGATGATGACAATTGTGATGATGATGATGATGATGATGATGATGATGATGATGACGACGTTGATGATGATTACGACGATGATGACAGTGTCGACGATGCAGACGTTTATGATGAAGTATTGGATGACGACCACGATGATGATGATGCCAACATCATTAGCAGCGAAAGGTCGTCATCCAATACTTCAGCATGAACGCCTGCGTCGTCGTTAATGTCACCATCGTCATAAACGTCATCATAATCACTATCACTATCACCATCACCATCACCATCACCATCATCATCATCATCGTCATCAACAACAGAAAAAACCTTAGTCTTTTTAAAAAATGTTAATTAACTTTATTTTGTTAATAATCAGTTAAAAAAATTGTGTATATAATATTTTTTAACCGTAGAAGGTTAATTAACCTTGAATGAGAACAACAGAAAAATTCCCACGAGAAATGAAAGTTGAAAAACATTCCATAAAAAAAAAAATCCTTCCTATTTATAAATTATTATTCCAATGTTCGTCCAATTCTAAAATTTTCAGTTTTATTTGATAAGTTTCCGTCTAAATATGAGCTTTCCCTTCCAACTACATTTATTAGTTCAAGATGGAATGGAAGTCTGGACGAGTTTATGAAATGTTTTAATTAAATTTTCATTCCACTACAACAAATATCGTATAATTTAGATTGGATTAACCTACTTATGACTGAAAATCCTTACTTCAAATTACATCCAATTAAAATATTTCATGAACTCATCCAGACTTTCATTCCATCTCTAGCAAGCAATCCAAATAAGAAGGGATACCCTATTATTGGAATGAAAGTTTGCAAGTAAGATGAAAAATTTTAAAATTGGAATGAATTTTTTAAAGATGAAATAAAAATTTGAAATTTAGATTGTAATTTTACTATAGAATGATTATTTAATTTCGGGAATTTTTTTCGTTGAAATATACAACGGTGCAACGCTGCATCAATAGTAATAACATCAACTTTAGTTAACAAACAATTAAGCAAACTATGACGACAATGTTCGAACAAACGTTGGACGAATGTTGATGTCATTGTTGGTTGAATGATCGGTTCGCATTAACCCAATGTTTCTTTCACTATTGGTTCAAACATTGTTAAAATGTTCACACATTGTTTCTAAAGTTGTCGCCTAATTGGACCATTAAGGTATCTTCAACATAATATATTGTTTGAGAAACATTTTGTTTTTTTTGGCAAAAAACACCGTAGAAGGGCAAGAGAGGGATGACGCTTTTCAAAGTTTGGGAGGTCACTCATGTCGCGTAAGCATTGTTAATGTTAACTATACTAATATTAGTAGTACCAAGACGTATAGTATTAGAAGTCATCGCATGAATGGTAGTAGAAGTTGAAGCAAAGATAGTAGAAGTCGTAACAAACGTACTGATAGTAAAAGTTGTAACAGTCTCGTTACAACTTTTGTTATTGGTGCATTTGTTATAACTTCTACTATCCCTGCTTCGACTTGTACAATTGTCAATATAATGGTTTCTAGTACAATAAGTATTGGCACTACTAATATTAATATGGTTAGCATTACTAAAGCTTATACGGAGTGAGTGACCTCCCAACCTCCAGCAACCCCCACCCCCCCTTTTCCTTCCACGGTGTTTTATTTCCTACTATTACGACAACAATTACGGGTAATGTTTTTTCTCATACTCGCCTTGATAGGATCGTTGTAAGTAGCATAGTAGTACATGTACTACTACAACATAAATGAGTGGTATTACCAGTACTGTAAGACCAAAATGTGTACTACTTGACGAATAAGTATGAGTGTTAGTGCTACAATCCAATAGGTAAAGCCTCTTGTAGAGGTGCTAACACTCTCGCAAAACATGGTTTGAACGGGCTCAATGCGCAACCACTCCCTCGATTGGTTGCATTTCTGCCCCTCTCACATTCATACAACGCACACACGCACAATCAGAGGGTAAGATACCACTCGTCAAAGA